ATGTAAATTCCATTAAAAAATTCACACCCTCTGAAGGCACAAAATATTCAGTTTAAACTCCACTCATATGTCACTTTACTGTCAAAGAATTCCTTGTCTGCTATTTGAAAGTGATAAAACAGTTGTAAAAGTCAAAACTTATTGTCAAAAGTCAAAAGCTTATTTCATGTTGCTGCCATTCAGTGACATGTAGCACTGGTAGACATAGAAAGGACATTCTCTGTGGGGAAGAAAAGACAGCCAAGGGTGCAGGGAAAATCCTTCTTGCACATCTGAAATAACAACAGTAATAAAGGACTGACTACCAACTCATGGTAACAACTACGCATTCACTGGGACAAAATTAGCAGAAAGAAACAGTGATGAAGTCTCAAGTTTTCACCTAAGCTTTCACAGGACCTACAGAAAACCCTTGTAGAGTAGCTAATAACTGTAAGCATCCAAAATATTACTCTGGATCTACAAGATGTATGTCTTCAAACACTAATTTTGTTAGCTATCTAAGTGAACAGTAGAAGTCTGGTATTTATTTCAATTCCAGCTAAACAGCAGCTCTTCATTGCTAAATTCTAATTAAAGCAAAGCACTGAGTAAGATTTTCCAAAATTACATCCTCACAATATGAGGCCTACCATATTCTTAAAAACTTAAGTCAAAGCAAAATTATATCTTGCGCCTTCCAAAACGATTGTGTGTTTCAAGGCTTTTTCTTTTCAATTTTCAGGCACTTCTCCCAAGTTCCAAAAATAATTAAAATTAGCATCTGCCACTATGCTAATATCTTAAAAAAAAGGATAGAAAGAATATTTTATGAAAAGTCAGTTAGTAAAACTAAAAGCAAAGGTAACAGTTTGAGGGATTATTACTAAGAAAGTATTGCTAAGATATCCAAACTTAAATCAGAAAAATAATTATATTTAGAAAGACACATGATAAAACTTATATCAATACAAATAAAACACAATAAAACTCCCCTTTGTGTTTTCTTTGTGCTACCCGAGTAGCACAATAGCATTAGGAATCACTTTCTAGTGTCTAATAGAGATTGCTAAGGGAACAGAGTACACAGAACTGCCTCTCAGGCAGTGGTTCTCGAATGTTGGCAACGATGAAGAACAGACCACAGAAAATTCACATGGCCTAAAACTCTTGATAGTTCAAACACTGGAATGTGCATTACTTAGAATCGCAGCAGTCACACTGGAAACTGGAGGCCATACACATGAATAATTCTTTTTTAAATTTCTTCTCATGTTAGAGGCTATGTTGCCAGAACCTAAATGCTACTACCATGTTAAAACCTATTAAATGTTAAAAGGTGCTTGTCCCTTTCCTTCCTCAAAAACATCTGCATAGAGCAGCAGTTTTTCTAATGCATTCTTGCTTCATATATACTCAAGCTCTCACCCTGAAATTTTCAGAAAGGCAAGAGCCAACACCACATCTCTGTAAAAAGATCTGCTATACAATCACTGCTAAGCAGCCAGAGCAAGAATCAAGGAGCAGCAAAACCCCAAATTAGCTCTTTTAAGTTTGAAAATTATACCCTATACTTCATCCCCCTCAAAGAGTATGGTTAAGGTTGGAAAAGACCTCTGGAAGTCATCTTGTCCAATCCCTGCACTCAAGGATGGCACCTAAAGCCAGTTCCGTAGACTTCACATAGATGGTGTCTGAATAACTCTATGGAAGAAGATTCCACATTTTGTGTTACCAACACCAGTGCTCAGTCACCCTCACAGTAAAAAGTTCTTCCTCATGCTCAGCTATAACCTCCTGTGCTTCAGTCTGTGCCTAACAGAGAGGTCGACAGTTCAATTAAGTTAAGAAAGAGGTAACTGCAAGATGGTTTTGAGGAAACACTCCAATGCAGTAAAAACACTCTTTGAATAAGCAGCCACTGAGGCCAAGATATTGTTTTAACTATTGCTGCCTAGAGTTCATTTCTTTTATTTAACATAGTTAATTTTCCTAGAACAAAGTATATGCTCTAGTATTTGACATGCAGAGTGGTTAAAGCAGTCTGAAGAGGCTGCACAACACATTACTTACGCACCTTTATTTTCTTCCAAAGCTGTATTATCATAAATACACAGACTGTACAACTACAGAGAGCAACGCTTCTCTTCCATTAGAGTACCAGGGTGGTAGGAATTCTGAGCACCACACTAAAAACAACAAAACCTAAAAATGTGGTATTTCCTGAGCAAGAGATACGAAATCTGTTTTTGTAAAAAGCAATTTGCTAAATAAAATTCCTCCTGCTTAAAAGTGAAACTTACGGAATTCACAACCAGTTTTCTAAGCCTGTCAGCCTGCATGTGAATGGGATGAGCAGCCAAATATCCTGAGAACACAAATCTTCCAGACTCAAGCTGTCCTGCTCAGCCAGAGCTTCTTCATTCATGACCTTCCCTTAGCCACATGTAAGCGTGGAAAAATACTAGATGCTTGCCAACAATGACTTGTCTGTTTTCCCAAACTGCTGAAATCTCACCAACCACAAGACTCCAGAATCCACAATATTTGCCTACACAGGGCAGAGCACTTGCAGTTGCAGACTGCTGGAGTCTCTGAATACCTGTGGTAGCCTAGACCCTGTAATTCTAAACTGTTGTCAGCAGTCAAACTACCTCTATGAAACAATTTCATTAATAAATTACCAATTGATTTTTAAATAAATCAATATTTATTTAAATAAATCAATATTTATTTTTAAATAAATCAATATGTAAAAAATACAATCTATGATCAAACTCAAACTAAGACCTGTCAGCCTCTTACCATAGAAAGGATCTAAGACCAAGGTCCAGCTACAAACCAAAGGAATATAGCTGCTAGGCAGTTTTTCTGGACAGCTTGCCTCAGTTTTGATCTTCTTCTCAACCATACATCATGCTTTTATTGCAGGAACTTACATGCATATGACACACATGTACCCTTGCAAGAGCTATTAGAGAATTCAGAAGACATTTTAGTTAAAATAAGCTTAAAAAAACCACACTCAGTTTCCAAAACTGGTGATAGTCAAAGCTCTTTGGGTCCTTCTTTATGTATTTAGTGTTCCATAGCTGAGATCAGTGGCTTCAACAAAAAAATAAAACATAATCAAAACCTGTGGTAAAAAACTGTGGCCCATCTGGCTTTTCCTACTGGAGAAAATATTTTACCCAACTTCCCAATACTCATGTAACAGTACAGCACCTTTTTTTTTCCTTTTTGCCTGCCAGCACATTTCAAGTCTACAAAAAGTATTCCACAGAAGAATCACCTACACATTCCTCTCAAAGAGCCAGAGCTCATCTGTAAGCATTCAGAAAACCAGACATTCTAAATGTGTACAAAAAATATTCATCAGTTGACTTTTCACGACTGAAATAACCATAGCATTTGAATGGTTTATGAATTCCCTCCCCATTCTGTGTGGTAGGAAAAAAATAAAAAAAATCTACTGCTATGTGCTTCCACTAAAGAGAAGTCACTGATGAGCATTCAATCTACCTGAAGCACAGTATGTTAAACGTTTGTGGGCTTTACTCAGACACTGCTCACAGATTTCTGATAATATCGGCAGCAACGAACTACACAAAAGAGCCACGAAGATACAAACGCCTAACAAAAAAATAAAAAACACCCAAAACAAGCCCATCAAACAAATCGTGCCCTCAAGTATTCTCATCAACGACACTTATATGCAGGCAGAAATTTGAAACTGGAGTGCCATACAGACCACGTTTGGGGAAGAAAAACAGTTCTGTTTTTATACATATACTCACAAAAAACACGACTACAAAGACGAGTTTTAAAGCTTAAAACTGAAAAAAAAAAAACCACCTCCTCTTGAAAGCAAGAGAGACAGAAGCGTTCCACTTTATTTTCACTGGTTTATCACCCTTTATTCGAAGCTCTTATTAATCTGGCCCGCGGGGAAGGGAAGCAGTGGGAAGGGAAGAGCAGCGGAAGGACTTGGAGCCTTCCTGTTCTGTTCTGCCTGCCGCCGGCCAGCCAGGGCTCTTCCTCCGGCCCTCCCCAGCTCCAGCCAGCCCAGCACCGGGACCCGCTCCCGCAGCCGTGAAGAACAGGAAGGCAAGGCCGCTGACCTAGGCCGAGCAACCCTCCAGCGCCAGCGTTGCCGCCGCCCTACGGCGAGTCAAACAACGAAGGCAGCGACCGCGCCGCCAGCAGCTCCTCCCGCGCCCTCTGCGGGTGAGAGGCCATTACAGATACCGCCGCTGCCCGAGAAGGCTGCGGTTCGGCCGCGAAGCTCAGCTGTCCGAGCAGCCCAGGCGCCAGCGCGCCGTGTGGGGCGACGGCATCTGCACGCTCGGTATCATTCCGCAGGGCCGGACCCGGCCGCTTCCCCTTCCCTCCGCCCTCTCGCCTATACCCTCGCACAATAGACCCGGCCTTCCTCCCCCATATCCGGGGACTATATGCGGAACCCGCGGAGGCTTCTCGCCTTCTCGCAGCGCCCGCGCTTTCACCACCGCCGCCCCCCGCCCCGGGCGCGTATCGCGCTAGCCCGGCCGCGCTGTTTTACCTGACTCGCTGCCGGCCTTGCTAGTCTCCCTGCTGGGTTTAGGAGGCCGCCCCCTCGGCATGGCTGCCCCCTCCCTCCTTCCCCCCACCCCCCTGGCCCTCCCCCCCTTTTTCAGCACACACACTTGGCAACGACGGAGGAAGCGGCGGTTGGTGAAGGGGGACGAAGGGGGCGGGGACGACAGCGCGAACCCGGCCCCATACACGGGCCGCCGGGGGCCCGGCGTTGTGGGATCGCGCCCGGCGGGGGGCTGGCGCAGGCGCACACGGGTTCACCGTGGCGGCGGCGAGGTGTTTGGGGATGGGGGGGGGGGAGAAGAGCGAGCAGGAAGAGCACTCACGGGCACACAAGAACGGGCGGCGCAGGCGCACTCACCGCGCCTCCACGCCGGGGAATGGGGGGGGGGGGGGGGGGAGCGCGGCAGCGCCAAAGACGTCGTTGAGGGGTGGTAGGGAGAGTGGTGCGCATGCGCTGTGAGCGGGGTTTCGAGTAGCTGAGGTCGGCGATTGGCACATTTGGGTGTGTTGGTGCATGCGCGGAGGGGCGGCAGTGAGTGGGTGCGGATGGCGCCGCTCAGGCCCCATGGGGTCCTGGTGGAGTGTGGGTGTGCGTGGAAGGGGCTGTGGGGTCTCCGGGGCAGGTTCAGCGGGAGGGGTGAGGCTTGCCTTCCCGGGCACAGCAGCGGGGGGACCGTCCCGGACAAAGTTGTGGCGGCTTCCCTGTGGGCGGTGGTTCGCTGCCTGTTTCTTTGCACCCTCAAGTTTGGTGTTAGCTTGAGAGGTGCGTAACGTGGGCACGGGGCTCAGCCTGCCCCCGGAAACGTGTTATCGGCTAGAACGCGTACCCGCAGGGCCTGGTGGGATTTTCTGCTTGAACACCGTTCGGTTTGCAGCCTGTGCTGAGCTCTGCTGTCTGAACTGGGTGCTGCGTGAGGAGATACTGGGGGAGGAAGAATCTTTAAATCTCACTGGATTATTTAATAGCAATTTTGGGGTATCGTAAGTCCTAATACTTATTTCTGTCACCTGTAATGCGTGCAGTGGTGGTGTGCCCTCTGGAAAGTGGGCATGCGAAGATGGGGATGTTTTATCCACAGCTTTTTTCCAGCTCTTTGTGGCTTTTGTTGCCTCCAAAGACACTGCTGTATGTTACTTCTAAATTCGTAGGGCTTCAACTTCTAAATGAGAGTTTTGTTACACCTCTTTCTTGCTAAATAAAACTTTTCATATGAAATTCTTGCTTTTGGTGGGTGATTTTTTTTTTCATTATCTCAATAGTTTGACCTAGTTAAGATTCTAAAGCTTTCTGAGTTACATATTCTTTCGGTACCTTTAATTTTTTTAATTTAATTTTTAAACACCTTTTTTAAAAGGTGGTATTTCTGTGCAAAGGGAACTGCTATGAGAATGCTGCCTAAGTCTACTTTTCATTTTTTGGCTGCTTAGTTTTTCACCAAAGATTGATTCAAAACTCACTTCCCACTGAAACAGATTGCTGGTGCTCACGTTCTCACTGCTTTCCAGGATACTCCTTTTTTCCTCCCCCCCATCCCATATGGGCAGCACCTGGCCAGTTTCTTTATTTCAAACTGCTGTGTTTCAGTAGCCTGTATTAAAACACATTTAATATGATGCGGGTGTAGTTAAGCCAGCTGGATGACCCTGTCCTCGTTTACTATATGTATTACTTTAATGTCCCTTTCTGTAGCCTCTGCAAATAGTATTAATCACGTACTTCTGATCAGTGACTGAAAAATAGGGCAGGCTGGGCACTGATACCTGTGAGCACTAATAGCAAAGCACTGCTTACTAGTTTTCTCATCGTTGAATGTTAATTATTACTTTGTTAATTCATTTATTCTGTTGCAAATGTGTGGAGCTATTTTTGTCATCAGTTGTAAGTTAAATGCCTTTCAGATACCTAATTACGTCTAAAAACTTGCCTTTAGCTACCAAATTTAATCGTATCAAAGAATGAAATCAGTTTTTTGGAATGCAAGGTTTCATTTCTTCCTGAAGGCTAAGGTTGGGTAAGCAATATTTAGATAATTTCTTGTTCTGTCTGCTAGTGGAGAGTGTACCGTATTTAATTTTCTCTGCAGAAGTGCAGTGCTGGAGCATAAATACGGGAGGAACTGAAGCTTGCCGTGACCTTTGCTTGGGGCTGCTGTGTGCTGACTACTCGCTCCAGCCCAGCTACAGGCAGGGAAAAGCCAAAGAACAGCAGTGGCCTCTGGTGGTTATGGCTAGTTCTGTGCTGAAAATTAATTTTCAGCAGTGAACTGCAACCAAGTACGTGAGAGAAGGTGACAGCTGTTCATGTGATTTCAGTTAGACCCTAGGGAAAGGACTCAAAGAACCTCGACCAAATTGGTGTCTAGAAGAACTTTGCACAAGCTCATTATTTCAACTACTTGCCCCGATTTTTGTTCTAACTTTGTAATCGGGATTATCTGTATTTTTTGCTGAAGTGTTTGTTCTGCTTAAGGGTTAAGAACCTTGAATCTTGAGGTTTGTTTAGTTTTAAAATGTAGACTTGACAGCAATGTAAGTAGGATTGTATGTGCAGGCAACTTCTGTCTGTACTAACTGAAATTGTGCTTCATTTTTCAAGTCTAATGCAAAAGTCAACTTTAATTTCTGTTTTTGCTTTTCAGGGTTATTGTTTCCTGCATGTCTTTCAGTGTTTAGCAGCAGTGTTCACAGTCATGGTTAATTTTGTGCTGCAAAAGTCTATGTTTCATCTGTTCCAATTTAGTTTGTTGTTGCCTATCAGTGTTCAAATGCTTCTGCATCGCTCTCATTCTGTACAACACTAGATCTACATAAAAGTAGAAAAGATACCACCTTTACTTTGGATCCTCAAGGAGCCTTTAGTCATGGGAGACAAATAACAGTTTATGAAGATTATAGGGAATAGATTGTTGAACATATGAAAGTAACTTTTTATTAAAAAGCAAATCCAGTGGTAAATCATGTGCTTACAATACTGGCTTTAATTTTACAGCCATTTTCAGTTTGTTGAAACTGTTTAATCTTTGTATAATTTTCTTTCTTTGTCTATGCAATTGACTTAATATTTTCCACCTGCACTTTGCAACTCATGGAGGAAAGGCAGCACACATATAGCTAAAACTGTTGCTCTACTTTTTTGTGAATTTATTGTATACATTTGCAGAGATGCCAATATTTTAAAATATTTTAAATATGTTGTGTTTTGTACATAATAAAATAACCTTTTCCAGTCTTTTTCTGAAGTCTCTGGCATTACTCTAGAGGTTCTACGCAGGAAAATTCTCAGTTTTGGGACGTGACCTAGCATTTTAACCCAGTGCCTTCTCAGGTGAGAGCCTAGCAGGCCATTACTTATGCTCTGCTGCCCATGCAAAGGAAACATGGGTCTGTTCCCGAGATAAAATCTGTAAGGTAATACAGAGACTGCTAGACGTTTGGCCTTTAGCTCTTTCTATCGTTAATTTTATCTGATATTAGTAATTTCTAGGAAGAAAAGCAGCTATGGTGTCAGCCCATAAAATATGCAACATTAGAAGTTATAGTTGGGTTTTATCTACAGAAGAATAATACAGCATCATAGAGAGTAAGGTTAGCACAAGGCCCCAGAACAAATTGAATTCTAGGTTTTACTACCAACTAGTAGTACTAGATCTGCTACTAAATATTAAGGCAAACTAATGAAATCCAGTGAACCATTTCAGAAGAGCTGCTTACTAAGTAGGGTACTATTTACTGTTACAGTTGTCAGACCCTTAGCGTTGTAAGATTAACTATTTTCAGTTACTTATGGCTTTGCCACGCTTAAACTGTTCGGACTAAAGTTCCCATGCCAGCTGTCTAACTTCAGTTTAGGTTTGCTTGATTTGAGCAGACTGCATCTGCTTCAACCTGGGTTATTTTTCCTTTTAAAGGGGCATATAAAATTATTTACTGCACTCACCAGTGAGACTAGTGATTGAAAATTTTGATGCTAGCATGAAATATAAGTCAATGTGAGTCCATTACTCTCTCTCCAATAATGATTCAAATTTATCCTTTTTATATATGTTTTAATTTTTTTTATTTTAAGGAACTGGGTCATGTAACAGCTCTTTGTCCATTTTTTCCAAGCTGGGGCAGGATGTTGCTTTCCCTCACTTAAAGCTGTAGGTGTGTAGTACTTCAGGTTAGATAAATCCCCCCACAATTTGCTTAAAATTGCGACATTTAAGTACAGCACCTTTTGAATTCTCATGCTTTAGCTTTTGCATGTCTGAGTGCTTGTGAACTTGAAAGAAACGTGCTTCTAATGAGCGTAATTTTGTGTTGTGGTTTGACTTTAGGCAATGACATTTTAAGAAAAAAAATCACAATTTTCTCAGCATGATGGAAATTGTGATACACTGAAGTAGTTACATGTTGAGCCAGAGGTGTGAGAAATAAAGGCCATCGCAATAGCTGAAGTACACAGTATAGCTGGGCCTCTGTAGAAGGGTGTTTCAAGTAGCTATACCAGCACATTTGCCTATTGTAGACCCAAACCAGTAAATACACTTAGGACTGATTTACACGTGTTACCAAACAGAAACAAGCTTTACCAGGAAGAGCAACTGCATGCTTATAGGACATAATGTGAACTAGAACCTGCAGTAATGTGGAAATGTCAATAAAAGCAGCAGTCATGTCTCATATTACTGTAAGAACAAAAGCTAAAATAGATTTGGTGTGTATTTAGCATGTAAGTAATTGTTAAAATTATACACCGGAGGAACTGCAGTATACATTTTGCATGAAGGATTTCGCTAAAGGATTTCCAATGTTAACATATTAATTTCCAAGGAAATAAAAATATTTTCTGTTTTGCCCTGTTGGTTTTTTCATTTATTAAAGAAAGGGTGCTTCCTACTCTTTCTTCATTTGCTTTTGTGTGGCTGAAGGACTTGGGTTTCCATCACAGTCAACTAACTTGCTTCTTAAAGTGCTCTACCAGTGGAAAATAGTATTTTGATGAAAAACTAATATTTTGTAAAAATCTAATATCTAGACTTACTACAAAAAAAAAAAACGGTTAATGAAGACTGAAAAGGTAAATGAATACACTGTTAGCCACTTGAATAGTATCCATAAAATTCTCATTGGCAGCCATAAGGCTGCATATACAGTTCAGTATTTGAAGAGAAGGTTCAGCATAGTGAGTAGTATATTGAGATAGTGCAGCTGTGTTAAAGGTGAAATCAACGTATCTTGACACCATGACCGCTAATCCAATAAGAACAATACTGAGACTTAACAGCTTCTTTTAATACATGCTGCTGAATTTAGATATCTCACATCTGTGTGACTTTCACCTGCTGCCACCTCGGCACTAACTCAGACTGATCTTCTGAAGGATAGAAATTTTGTTATTGGTGTTGGAGTTCTAATTGGACTGCTGTGGTTTCCTACAAAACCGTGTTATCTAGGTTGGCTCATGCACTAGGATTTAAAGGCTCATTCTACATTGAAAACTGACCACAGGCATCACAATTTTCTAGTGCAGCTTTCCTAAATGTACAGTTATTACTATCACAATGATCACTGTGAGGCCGTGTGACTAGAGCTGTGTCTTTTCTGTTGCATTTCATTCCCCCATTTTCTTCTATTTATGTAATGTATACCCTGTGGTGCAGGTGCTCCACCAGCTGACCTTCATGTGTTGTCTGTACTGTCTGAAATTGCATCCTCTAAGCTTTCTCTGTATGTTTTCTTTGTGTGTCCCTTCTTTGGGGTAATTACATGATTGTTGTGGGTTTATGATCATGCATTGCATAATTTTAATCTGTCTATTTGTGGTTCAAATTTTGCTCTTTAGTCTCAAGGAATAATATAGGAGTCTTCATAATCTATTATTTTCACTGATGCCTTACTGTGTACTTGGCACTTAATTTCCTGTTTGTATGCTGCCTCGTCTTGATATCTTATGATAGACTGAGGTTTATGTTTTCTGTTTTATGTTGCCTTTTTATTCCCTTCCTCTTCTCTTCCTTCTCCTTTTTCGTTTTCCCTTGTCTACAAGTTTTGGCATGATAATTTTTTTCTGCTACAAGTGTATGAGCCCAAACAGAAGGTCTGTACATCATGCTGTTTTTCGTCATAGTACACTATGAGCAGTCTTACGTGATACTGTAATTTGCTTGTCTTCTCTGCTCTGTATTGCTTTTTGATGTTTTCTAATGTTGGGGTGGGTTCTTGGGCAGACTTTTCTTTCTGTTTCTGTTCTTTTCTTATATTACATGCAAATTGTATCTGAGACCACTCTGTTGAGGAGTTGCTGTCCATATTGCACTTTTCTGTATCTCTTCATAATGTTAACGTGGAGCTTTTGCATATTTTAGAATCATAGAATCATAGAATCGTTAGGGTTGGAAAGGACATTAAGATCATCTAGTTCCAACCCCCCTGCCGTGGGCAGGGACACCTTACGTTAAATCATATCACCCAAGGCCTCGTCCAGCCTGGCCTTGAACACTGCCAGGGATGGAGCATTCACAACCTCCCTGGGCAACCTATTCCAGTGCCTCACCACCCTAACAGGAAAGAACTTCCTCCTTATATCCAACCTAAACTTCCCCTGTTTAAGTTTTAACCTGTTACCCCTTGTCCTATCACTACCGTCCCTAATGAAGAGTCCCTTCCCAGCATCCCTATAGCCCCCCTTCAGATACTGGAAGGCTGCTATGAGGTCTCCACGCAGCCTTCTCTCCAGGCTCAACAGCTCCAACTTTCTCAGCCTGTCTTCATACGGGAGGTCCTCCAGTCCCCTGATCATCCTCGTGGCCCTTCTCTGGACTTGTTCCAACAGTTCCATGTCCTTTTTATGTTGAGGACACCAGAACTGCACACAGTACTCCAGGTGAGGTCTCACGAGAGCAGAGTAGAGGGGCAGGATCACCTCCTTCAACCTGCTGGTCACACTCCTTTTGATGCAGCCCAGGATACGGTTGGCTTTCTGGGCTGCAAGCGCACACTGCTGGCTCATGTTCATTTTCTCATCAACCTACACCCCCAAGTCTTTCTCCGCAGGGCTGCTCTGAATCTCTTCTCTGCCCAACCTGTAGCTGTGGCTGGAATTGCTCCTACCCAGATGCTCCTACCTTGCACTTGTCATGGTTAAACCTCATAAGGTTGGCATCAGCCCACCTCACAAGCATGTCAAGGTCCCTCTGGATGGCATTCCTTCTCTCCAGCGTATCAACTGAACCACACAGCTTGGTGTCATCGGCAAACTTGCTGAGGGCGCACTCAATCCCACTGTCCATGTCAGCGGCGAAGATGTTAAACAAGCCTGGTCCCAACACCGATCCCTGAGGGACCCCACTCGTT